TCTATCTATCTATCTATCTATCTATCTATCTATCTATCTATCTATCTATCTATCTATCTATCATCTATCTATATCTATCTATCTATATATCTATATCTCTATATCACTATATCTATATCTATAGCAATCTATATTATCTATATCTATTATCTATCTATCATCTGTCTGTCTATCTATCTATCTATCTATCTATCTATCTATCTATCTATCTATCTATCAATCATCTATCATCTATCTATCATCTATCTATATCTCTACATCTACCTCTCTCTCTCTCTCTCTCTCTCTCTCTCTCTCTCTCTCTATCTATCTATCTATCTATATATATATATATCAATCTATATCTTATATTATCTATATCTATTATCTATCATCTATCTATCTATATTATCTATATCTATTGTCTGTCTATCTGTCTGTCTATCTATCTATTTATCTATCTATCTATCTATCTATCTATCTATCTATCTATCTATCTATCTATCTATCTATCTATCTAAAATAAATACTTGGAGCATGCAGGGAATCAAACCTCGAGCTGCCAATCCACAGGCCCATCGTTTGCCCTCTGCCCCTCTTCCCGTAGCTTGAATTCACTCTGCTTCTCTTCCCCTCTTCAAGGTTACGGTTTCCTCCAGCCAGCCCAAGCGGAGATCTTCGCCCGCCAGCAAGAGATGCTCAGGAAGCAAAACCTTGCCAGGTGAGTCTTGCAGCCCAAGTCAAATGCACGCAGGGCTTGGCACCCGGGATCTCCTGCCCCACCCGCCCGCCCCCACGTTCGTCCTCGAATGACCAGCAATTACCGGGTAGATTTGGCAGAACCAAGAGCCACGGGATGTCCTTTTTATACTGGGATTTTCTGGGCAGTCGGCCTCGTTTGAAGAACATGAGAAATGGGTGGATTTCACCGGCTGGGCCTGGCAGTGCCCTCTGGGCCTCCCACGCTGGGTTCTGCTTCGCCCCCTCGCTGACCGGGAAGGGGCCAAAGGAAGAATTAAAAGTAAAATTGAGCTTAACCACTTCATGAAAGTCTTCTTGTAGGGAATAATTCCCCATTGCCATTCCTTCTGGGGGCTAATTTTTCTCCCAGTCTGTGATTTCCTTGTGGTCTCTTTTTCAAATACTACTGTATTTTCCATGAAAATAAGACAGGGTCTTTTGACCCCCTGAAATAAGCGCTTGGCCTTATTTTCGGGGAGGTCTTACTGTTTTTGAGGTGGGTTATATTTTGAGGTGATTATATTTTGAGGTGACAGGTATTTTCTTTTGACCCCCCAAAATAAGCACTTGGCCTTATTTTCGGGGATGTCTTATTATTTTTGAGGTGCGGGAGGCAGCGAGCGTGGTCACCTCATGGCTGCTGCTGTGTTACAATATTTTTGGGGAGGCCTTATTTTTGGGGGGAGGGCCAGGAGTCTCGGAGAGTCAGGAAACAATTAAGTGAACTCCTTGCCTCCTGCAAACTCCACTCCCCTTTCGTTCCTCTTTTATTCCCTTTGGGAGGGGCCATTCACAGTCCACCTGTGGCTTTACTCCCAAGTCGAGCCCTGTTCCTTAGCTGTTCCCTTCGTCTGGCCACTCTGCGAAGGCGCACACTGGGAACAGGCTCCAGCTGTTCTTCTGCTTCACTTACGTCTCACTCCAAAGGCAGCTGATAACTGTCAGACGGCCCTGGCCTCCTCTCTGCTTCCAACACAGAGCCCTCATCAGAGCCTTCCCCAGACTCCAGGACTGGCTCATCCTCCTCCCCAACCTCCTCATTGTCCGAGTCACAACAAAGGAGATTGTATGAACCTGGGACACGGTAACCGTCATAAATGTGAGTCGGTTGCCAAGCGTCTGAATTTCAATCACGTGACCATGAGAATGCTGCAGTGGCCCTAAGTGTGGGAAATGATCCTAAGCCACTAATTTCAGTGCTGTTTGTAACTTCCAATGGTCACTAAATGAATAGTTGTAAGGACTACTGGTGTCAACTCCCAACGTTGCCATAGTGAGAGAAGGAGGGGGAGTGCATTCCACGCATGCAGTTGGCTGAAGTCGGATCTCAGATTACTGGAGCAGGCTTGGGAGTGGTGCACCTCATAGGGAAATGTGATTTATGACACAGACTGAGGGGAGGAAAGGAACAGGGGTAAAGTTCAGCTATAACTCAAACAAAGCATAGACGACTGCAAACAGATCTTGCCTATGATGCTCCTAATAAATGGCTAGTTTTCTATTGGAACTCGGCTCGATACTCATGAATCAATTAGGGCATTTTTACGAAACCTCACAACTGGTGGCAGAAGTGGGATTGCAATGACAAATCTTCTCTCCTAAACCCAATTCTCTACCCGCCTAGGCTGGAGATGTCAGCGGAAATTATCCGGCAGAAAGAACTGGAGAACCTTCATCGGCAGCGGCTCCTGGCAACTGACCCCATGACTTTGCACCCGGGTCTGCCCCCAGACCACCCCGCTTTGCGGAGTCTTCACGACATCCCGGAAGGACACCCGCTTCGGGACGAGCTCTCCCGGAGGAACGCCATGCTGGTCCTGCGGCATAACAACGCCCCGCTGCTATCGCTCAACCCCCAAGGGGTTCCCGCCCTCTCCACCACCCCTCCCAAGGAGCAGGGCACGCGGAGGGGCACCCGGAAGGCCCCGCACTCTCGCTCCGAGGCGCTGGGCCAGAGCGAATCCAAAGACTTGTTGGATAGCCGTCCGCCGGACAGCAACAACGAGGAAATGAAGGACTCGGATAGCGACGCCGAAGCGAACGATGAGAAACCGGACACTCTGAAGCCTGAGAACAGCGGTGGGGCTGCTAGCGAGGTTAAGGAGTGCAAAGAGGTGGCAAAGATTGGCGAGGGCACCAAAGAACTGGGCGAGGTGCCAGCTGGGCAGAACCCACCCTGTAGTTCCTCCAATGCCGAGTTGCCTAGCTATCTCCTGGGTCCGACCATCGGCAAATCGGAGGCCAAGCTACTCCCCACGGCTTCCCTCCCGCCTCCCCAGCCGCTGCCATTTGGTTTCCCGTATACGATGAGCCCGTATTTCCATGCAGGTGAGTGAAGTGGCACTCTCGGATGGGGGAGAACACACCATTTTTGGGGGTGTTCTGACCTAGGCTTCCCCAGCAACACGAAGCCGAGTCCTCGTCCCGAGAAACCCCTTTTATTTAATTTACGGTGAATTCCTCTTCAGCCTAGTCTTTCCTCTCCCGCAGTCTTTCAAGATAGTTCACAACTACCGATTTTTAACAGGCTTGGAGTGTGTCCAGGCCAATATCTTTCAGACGCCACAATTCTTGGCAAGAATGCAGGAATGAACGTAATTGTCTCCTGCAAACTCCACTCCCCTGTTGCTCCTCTTTTATTCTCTATGGGAGAGGCCTTTCATCGTCCACCTGTGGCCTTCCTCCCAAGTCGACCCCTGTTCTTTAGCCGTTCCCTTCGTCTGGCAACTCACACTGGGAACAGGCTCCAGCTGTTCTTCTGCCTCACTGATGTCTGACTCCGAAGGCAGCTGATAACTGTCAGACGGCCCTGGCCCCCTCTCTGCCTCCGACACAGAGCCCTCCTCAGAGCCCTCCTCAGAGCCTTCCCCAGACTCCAGGACTGGCCCATCTTCCTCCCCAACCCTCCTCACTCTCCGAATCTGCCGCCAGCTCCACTGGCCACTGGTGGGGGCACATCAGGGAGATTGTTTTTAGGAAAATGCCAGCTCCTTTCACCTTTGAAGTTCCTGCTGATGGATGTCTTCGCTTTCAGATCGAG